CTTAGAATTTGTGTGTTTCATTTAATGTCAATCTTACATCCAAAGAATATAAGTGAATATTAAATTCTAATTTATGATACGCATGCTTAAGTACTTAGGAGGAATTACCCTATCTGCAACTTACTTTAAATATCTCAGATACATACAACGATATCTGCACTTTACCTTGAAATGCATCCAAAACATAGGATGATTAATTGATGGAGAGAGGAATGGACAAATGGACAGACATGTGATAAAGGAACTTAAGCTAAATGCTAATGATAGAATCCAGGTGGTGAATATATTGATGTTCACCTAAAAATTCCTTCAACTTTGCTGTATCTGAACATTTTCATAATAAAATATTGGGAAAAAGTACAAAAGATGTCTTACAAAAATATATATTGAGATTATCATTATGCAAAACGATTTCACACTTGTATGTTTTCTACAAAAGTAAACCTAAGCAAGTTCCCTTTAGTCCTTTGAAACTCAGTATTATATAGGACCTGACAATTAGTGACAGATTTACCCTACACTAGCACTAACCGTATTTTTCTTCACTGACCATTTTTATACAACAGAAGTTAAATGAGCCCAGTCTTTTGCAATTAATTTTTATAGCATCACTGATTAAATTTCCCCAAATAATTTATTTCTCACTTTATACTCTATAAGGTAATCCCATTAAATATAGTAGTGTAACATTTTAAACCAGAGTGCCTTAGCTTCCCATTGAAAGATTTACATAGGTCTGAAACAAGAGCTATTTCTGCCTAATGATCTGTATGTAAAGGTAACAGAAATATAGAAGATAGGAATAATCAATCTATAAAATGCTATATATCTCCTAAGTGTTGTCTAAGTAATCAAAGATTTCCTGGTGTGGGTCATTGTACATTGCCATGACTCCAGTTAAATAAACACTGAAAATACATGTTTCTCTTGAATTTAACATTACCTCTGCACAGCTGGGATAGTAAACCATCTGGTGTGGGCCTTTCAAATAACAGCCTAATTATCTAATTCAGTCAGTAAATAAAATAAAGCAATTGTTTGCAGCCTACAGGGCACCAGATAGACTCTCTGGGAAGTTACAGAAGGCATAAGCGCAGCCCTTAACCTTGGAGAGTTCTGCATCAAAGACTGTTAAAAATGCAGTGCGAAAATGAAGAAGGCCCTACTCTAAAGGAATTTTCTGCCTTGTCCAGGCAGAATACACAGAATACGATGTCATAAAAAAAATATAACGCATATAAAGATGAAGTAGTCTAAAGCACCTTTCCCTAAGGAGGCCAACTTCAAGTTACAAATATAACTTTAGGTTGTTAATGAATACTCCATAGTTCAATGATTTCAGTGTAATAGCTTAATGTTGAATTTAGAGAAAGGAAAATGGGTACATATTTTTAATCCTATACTCAATAAACACTAATACTTATAGAACACTTTTTTAGGCACTGTTAAATATTTTTCTACTACTAGCAGGAAAATTCTCCTAATAATTTTATGAGGTAGATACTATTTCCCCACATTGTAATGATACTTGAGATCTAGGAGCTGTTATCTGCCCACATCTATATAATTGAAGAATAAGGGAGAGAAATTAGAATTGGTGAACGTATGACTCCATGGTCCATAAGCTGGAACCCTCCTGTACCCAGCCTCGCTAAAATGCTAGAATAGCAGCACCCCAGAAACAAGTCTTAAGGTCAGGATTGGGTTAAATAAAGAATGTGTGCAATATTTTTCCAGGTATTGTTACATATTCTAAAATGTCTCTAATAACAAGTGACCTTCACAAGAAACAAAGAATTTTAGATTTCAAGATGTCATGAGAAAAACTGGGGAGAACATAAGTATTTTGGAGAATTTTTTTAAAAAGTGAACAAAACATTCTCAGGCATACTTCCCCCTATTTAATTTAGAAGCCAGGAAAGGAACAGTGTGGTCACAAAACATCATCCGTACTCTCACCTCCTTGTAAATAACAACTAACTTTTACTGAGGGCATACTGTGTACCAGACGCTGTTTGAGCCCATTACGCGAACCACTTAGAAGTATGCATTTCACAGATGAGAAGATTGAGGAATAGACAGATTAGGGGAATTGCCTCAGGTCACGCAGTTGGTGGAACTGGGTTCCATCCAGTTACTGTCTATCCAGTCTACCCAGTTATCAGTTACTATTCCATCCAGGTCTACCCACATATCAAGTTACTATTCCATCCAGTTCTACCCAGTTATCAGTTACTATTCCATCCAGGTCTACCCACATATCAAGTTACTATTCCATCCAGTTCTACCCAGATATCAGTTACTATTCCATCCAGGTCTACCCACATATCAAGTTACTATTCCATCCAGTTCTACCCAGATATCAGTTACTATTCCATCCAGTTCTACCCAGATATCAGTTACTATTCCATCCAGTTCTACCCAGTTATCAGTTACTATTCCATTCAGGTCTACCCAGATTTCAGTTACTATTCCATCCAGGTCTACCCAGATAACAGTTACTATTCCATCCAGTTCTACCCAGTTATCAGTTACTATTCCATCCAGGTCTACCCAGATATCAGTTATATTCCATCCAGGTCTACCCAGATATCAGTTACTATTCCATCCAGGTCTACCCAGTTATCAGTTACTATTCCATCCAGTTCTACCCAGATATCAGTTACTATTCCATCCAGGTCTACCCAGATATCAGTTACTATTCCATCCAGGTCTACCCAGATATCAGTTACTATTCCATCCAGTTCTACCCAGATATCAGTTACTATTCCATCCAGTTCTACCCAGATATCTGTTACTATTCCATCCAGTTCTACCCAGATATCAGTTACGATTCTATCCAGTTCTACTCAGATATCAGTTACTATTCTATCCAGTTCTACCCAGATATCATTTACTATTCTATCCAGGTCTACCCAGAAATGATCTATTCCTAAGGTCACAGTCACGTCAACTCAAATACAGCACCTCATCCCCAAGTGAAACGTGCGCTTTTTGACCTGGCCAGTTTCCTCTGTGTGGGGGCAGAACTTTCTTTAAATAGTATGTGATATACCTATTAACCATCTCTGACTTTATTTCTGACATTTCTTCTGAAGACTACTCCTCTCCCAGATCAGTGTATCCCATGGGATTCTTTGCCTTCCTTCTTCAGGTTTCAGGACAGAATGGGAGAAAGAAGTATATGTATCTACATCTGTATCCATATCTATAATTATCCAGCCATAGCTCTTCTCTTTTTCTGTAAGGAAAATCCATTGTAGAGAGGTTGGTTGGCCTTAGTCGTAGACTTCCAAAAAGCGACAAATGTTTGAGATGAAACAATGTATACAGTGGTCATTTCATCCTGACAACAACAATCAAAATCTCTTTCTGTATGTTGATATAAACAAATATATAGATATATGCTTGTGCATATAGAAATATTATGTATAGATATATAGAAATGATGCATAGATGTATATGTCTATGTACCTATCTATACACATATATATGTGCTGACAGGTAGATAGATAGATAGATAGGTAGATAGATACATGATAGATAGTTGATAAATAGATGATGGAAGTATAAGCATTTTTAAGGGTGGGTAAGGAAAGTTTAATGCTCACTTTCTATAATGATTCTTCCAAATTAACTGATTTTCATCTCAGCCGTCAGTAGTGTAGAAATATGTTCATTGCTTGTTTGCCTTAGGCAGTTTCAAATTTGGGGGACTGTCTATGTATCTTTGATGGTCACAGCTGTGTGATCTGCTTTGTGCAGCCACCTTGCTATGTTTGGTGTAAGGGAGGCTTTTCCAAGTTAGTGGTATAAACCAACCCTCAACCCTTGATGACCTTTAAACTCATCATTCAGGGGTCTCTCTGACTAGCATCCTTGCATTTTGAAACTGGGCTGTAATTCCTCATAATTCCAATTCCAAAGCATTATGTGTTGTCTGTAGATATCTCTATTTAGAAAAAATAATAATATATAATTTTTAAAACACTGTACTATAATATTCTCTGTATACCTGTCTAAGCCATAAAGTTCTATACTTAATTTAATAAGAATACCTTAATTTTATCTTTAATTATTGATTTTTTCTGGATAAAGAGCCACAAAGCAAATAGATCTTAAAAACCTTCAGAAAGGGATCACATAAAAATAATCATAATCTATAATTCAGAGCTTTTTTTTTCACAATGGTAATAAATTAAACATTCTCCTTTGAGCTTTCTTTATTGTGCAAAATGAGGCTGATTAGGTCAAACTGTTCTTTCTACCACTTTTGACATGCCAGGCAGAGATATTAACATTTCCAAAGAGAAATGGAACATGTTCCAGGGTTTGAAGAAGGATGAGGGATAATAACCTAAAATTAGACACTGGTTATTTGTTGTGCCCCCCTTCCTTGACTCCTTCCAGATTTATTTCTATGAAGCCTTGGTGAGCTGAAGGAAAGGAAAGCAGTATGTGTTCACAAACATTTAAAAATTTCCTTTGAATGTCATTCTGAAGAAAGAAATGACAGGCTAACCCATGGCCAAGGCTTCTCAGGAACACTGTTTCTACGAGTTTCCTCTTCACATTGCAAACCCTTTGCAACGCTGTTCTATGCACAAACCTCCCCGTTCCACTCTAGAGCATTCTGTGGTCACAAGGAAGTCAAGAGCAGCGCAGACCCTTCTTTCCACACCTGAATCCTTCCCGCCTCTCCAAGGGTCCTGCTGAGTGAAGTGTGCCCTCCGAATTACAATTATCAACGTTTTCGATTTCTACCAATGCAATACGATATACCAAAAATCCTTATGGCCGCACACACGTATACAGAAGCCTGTTATAAAGTACACTGACAAATCACTTGAAATATTTCTTAACCCTATTTTAGTCTCTCCCACCCCCAAATTTCCTCCTGATTGCATCCTAGTCAATTCCCTTCACAGACCCGTGTGTTGAAAGCAGCATCCGTTGACCAGCGCACACGTTCAACAATAAATATAATGATGGTAACTGACCTGTGTCCAGAGGTAGACTCTTAGGTTACAGGGCTACTCATCCACATGGCTTCCTCAGGGGCCTCCTCACTTTCTTTCTTCTGTTTTGGATTCACAGTTCACTGGTCAGTGCCTTTGGAGATACAAACATCAGATTATGACAATGAGAGCAGAAAATCATGAACCCTTCACATCTCCCAGACTGTAGAAGCTCATGCTCGGGGGGAAAAAAAGTATTAATGGATCTGGTTCAAAAGTTTGCATGTCCTGAAAATGTGTCTTGGTGACACCCCATGAATGAGCCACAGACACACTCATGAGCCACTCTGTGTCTAAAAAGGAAGGTTCTTCATTTGGAATATGCGTCAATCTTTTCCATGCATCCATCTTTCAAAAGATTCTAAAAACTGAAAGAGTAATTGAAAAAATGGTATTTTTTTTCAAGAGGAAAGAGAAAGAATTCCTTTTTCATGGTCATCATGGAGATAAAGCTAATGAAAAGAGGTGTCAGCTCCACTGCATGGCTACTGGATGGCTCTTTTCTTGAATTTAGATAATAATACACAAGGCAAATTTGCAATAAATGTATTTATTTAGATTTAATTGAATGTCTGTAAATATCTGGGAGTTACTAATTTGATTAACTGTTAAATGTAGCTCCTAAACTATTTTACTTGACTATGTCTCCAATATATGTGATTGACATTGATTCAGTTTGGCTTAACTTCCACGTTCACGCTACACTCTCAGGCCAAAGTAAATTCCCAATTTCAATTCAGCCTACTACCATACTTTTATTCTATCTTTTACAGTTTCTAAAAGAGACATCTTTGTAATCAAAGCCCTAATGTATTTTAAAAACTTCCAAGTTGACATATACAACTGAACTTCTTGAAATAAAAACATTTTGTTATTTCAGAAACTCAGTGGGTTAAATTCTTCTTTGAAATGTAGGCATCATGATAACAAAGTTCATTTTAAAAACTGAAAGAGAATTTATATTTTGTGATTATTGTCTATTTAAGAATGGCAGAAAGGGAACAACTTCACCAAGAATGTTTAAAAACGCAATTAAAATGAAAAGATAACATTTTCTCCAAACAGACTGGCAAAAATAGAGAAAGAATGACCATGTCCAGCACTGGCCAAAGAAAGCATCGCTCTCTAACCCTACTGGTGGAATTGCAAATTTCTATGCTGTCACTAACGTAGGAAACGTCTTTAAAATATGCATACCATCTGATGTAGTAACTTTATTTCTAAGAATCAAGTTTATGGAAATAACCAGAAGTGTTGGAAGTTATACATACAAGGACATTCATGCCGGATCATTTACAACAGCTAAAGTTATTAAGCAGCATAAATATTCAGAAAATGGATTTAAGCAAATACCTATGAAAGAACACTAGGTAGCCATTGAAAATAAAGGTGTAGAGAAATATTTGTTGGCATAAAGACACTCATGATATATTGCTAAGCAAAAGGAGTAGGCTACATGTAGCGTAGTGCCAATTTTTATTAACTTACATGTATGATCATAAAGGCATGAAACAAACGTAAGAACAGATATACCCCAAAACGTGAGCACCACTTATATTTGACATGTGAGGCAATAGAAGATTCAGTATGGTTTCTCTTTGTTATTATCCTTAGCTTTTGCTTTTAATTATTTATTTTTTTATATTTTCCTCAGAGAACATCTGTTATTTTCATAGAGTTGAGAGAATTTAATAATCTTTCATTGGAAAAATGCTTGATAGAAATTACTTATTTTTTCTCCATTTTTTTCCTGACTGCATTCAAGGAGGTGGGGACGATGCTCTCTCCCATCCTCTCCTCCCTGCTACCCTGCTTAGCCCTGTCCAGAAATATCAGTGCATCTGCTCGGTCAAACTCCATGACCAACTGCATCATGGGTGAGGCTGCTGTACCTCCAAATATCATCTCATGGCCAAGAAGCACACGAAGAGATGCTCAGCATCACTAATCATTAGAGAAATGCAAATCAGAACTACAATGAGGTATCACCTCACACCCCACTGGTCAGAATGGCCATGATGAAAAAATCTACAAGCAATAAATGCTGGAGAGGGTGTGGAGAAAAGGGAACCCTCTTGCACTGTTGGTGGGAATGTAAATTGATACAGCCACTATGGAAAACAGTAGGGAGGTTCCTTAAAAAACTAAAAATAGAACTACCATGTGATCCAGCAATCCCACTACTGGGCATATATCTGGAGAAACCATAATTCAAAAAGACACATGCACCCCAATGTTCATTGCAGCACTGTTTACAATAGCCAGGACATGGAAGCAACCTAAATGTCCATCAACAGAGGAATGGATAAAGAAGATGTGGTACATGTATACAAATGGAACACAACTCAGCCATAAAAAAGAATGAAATAATGCCATTTGCAGCAACATGGATGGACCTAGAGACTGTCATACAGAATGAAGTCAGACAGAGAAGACAAATATTATATAATATCGCCTATATGTAGAATCTTTAAAAAAAAATGGTACAAACGAACCTATTTACAAAACAGAAATAGAGTCACAGATGTAAAAAACAAACTTATGGTTACCAGAGAGGAAAGAGGGGAGAGGGATAAACTGGGAGATTGGGATTGACATATGCACACTACTATATATAAAATAGATGACTAATAAGGACCTACTGTAGAGCACAGGGAACTCTACTCAATACTCTGTGATGACCTATATGGGAAAAGAATCTAAAAAAGAGTATGTGTGTGTGTGTGTGTGTGTGTGTGTGTGTATAACTGATTGACTTTTCTGTACAGCAGAAACTAACACAACATTGTAACTCAAATATACTCCAATAAAAATTAAAAACAAAACAAAACAAATATCATGCTCATAAACGTGGTTTTGTATTGCTTCCTTTTGGCCAAAATGGTCCACTGAGCTAAGGTTTCCTCCCATGCCTAAGGCCAGCTTGCTTTCGCTCTGTGTCCCTGAGCTCTGCTGTTTGTGTTTGGATTCTTTCACCTGCTCCACTCTCAGAATAAGTCAGCCTGGGGGGAAAAATGGTGAGATTCTAAAACTGAGTTTGGGCTTAGGGCCATGAAGAGGAGATTGTGGCTTTAAATTAGGCAGCATTCTCCTGCCCGGTTTACCAAAGTGCTCTGCAGATTTTGTGTGAAAGGCCAACAAATAATAGGATGGTATATTGAGTTTTAGTTTTCTCCCATTGTCACTTATGCCTGTAATTCCCTCGGAAGCCTGCTAAGCAGGGGTGGCTGGGATTTGAGGTAGGAGTCAGGCATTCCTCAGCCCCCTAAGCAAATGCCATTGAATAGCATTAAGATTTTGCCCCAAGCAGGACTGGTGCCATGAGCCCTAGGATGGCCCTGCCCTTGGTCGAATGCTCTGCTGTTGCCAGCCTTGAAATCTTCAATAATTCACTGGGCCCCCAAAATCATGGAGCTGGTTCTAACCCAGCCCCAAACCCTGAATGTTCTTTCTGATGAAAGTGGCAAAGTCAAAATTCACACATAGATAAACTCATTTTGTATATTGGGGAAAGGGACGTAGGAGTATTGTTTTTCCTTTTGGATTGCCTGTTAATACAAATAATAGTAAGAAGTGACTTCCTTTCCCAGAAAGCCTCATGAGTGCTAACCTTTTGCACCTAACCATAGATTTGCATTTGAGAATCATTGTCAGAGATGAAGTAAAAGCCCCGGGCTCTCTGCACTGTTATCAAAAGAGGGGAATAGAAAAAGCTACGAAACAATGGAACACCATAGATAATCCATGATCTCAAGATCTCAGTTCTGTAAGAATTTTCACTTCATCGTGACAGGGTGACTAATCTTTGGGGGGTTCTAAACTTATGTCAAGATTAAATTCACATGTAACAAGAAGAGCAAGACTTGTATGGTGAGTCCAGCAAGGCTCCCTTAGATCTTAACCAGTCACTTACTGGCAGGCAGGCCAGCTAGTAGATCAAATTATGACATCATGGAAGGCTCCCAGTATTGAGTCTTTGTCATGCCATTTCTAAGAAAAATAACATCACTCTCGTCCTTCCACAGGATTTCGTCCAGAGACCTACGCTCGTGGCCTTTCTAATCAATGTCAAATTTCCTTTGGGACAAGGTTAGGAATAGCTGTCTTAACTGAAACGGTAACTGGAGATCAGAATGAAATGATTTCTATCCACAGCCAGCATAATGTTATGTTTACTTTGTCTTTTTCAATCCAGTGCCCTGCCAACAAATTTATGTTAAATGTATGTCATATTCCAATCTGTTTAAAAGATTTGGTATAAAATGAAAGACTCGAATGTATTATGAATAACTGTCTGTTGATAGGCTCCAGGGACATACTGTACTTTTCTAAATTCATCATATGAAGACGGATATGGTTTTCATGCACTAATACTCTTTGCAATTTGTTTATAACAAAATGGGTCAATGTACCATTAATTCAGTTGCAAAACTGTCATCTCTGGCTTTAGGTTTTCCTACAACTAATGAGACTTCACTGGTATTCGCTCACACAGCCCACTCAGCACTCCACACTAATGATGTCTATTGACAAGGTTATTGGATTCCAAATGAATGTTTACGTAGAAATGGGAAACCAGTGTCAAATATGAAGCTCAAATAGGTACTCCAAGCTGGAGAAGCTTATGGCAGCTTAAACCCTCTACTGTTTATTCCCCCTAATGAAAAGCAAAGACAATAGGAGACATGGGGATAAATGTAATGAAGAGAAACAATACTGGGGTTCTGAGAGGTTAATCCAGGCACAACAGAGTTAATCTGGAAGAGGCTGGGGGAGGTTTTAGGCTAAAGATTTAGACAAGACTTGTTACTTTTTGATCCAGTTGTAACCAGTGAATGACCCTATTTGCAAAGAAGATTTTGGATTTTCAAACCAGCAGGGCAGAAGTTGCTTCCTTGATGTTTCTTGTTAAACACACTTGGGTACTTGTTTTCAGAATAAATGATGTCAAAGATCTTCATTTTCTTCTCAAGCAACAAAACAAAAGGAGTCTAACAATACAGATACTTAAGAGGACACAGAATTTGACCCAAGATCAAAAAGTCCCTGAAAGCCAAACTGCATATTCAACAGACGCACAATAATATTATTCGG